TTTACTCTCGCGTTGAGGGAAGACGCTTTTCACATTCGCTCCCTCAATAATCCTACTTTTTAAACTAGCTCAACATAAGAGTATTAATTAATACTGACGAATTTGGGAGTTAAAAAATTCCTCTCATCTGTTTCCCATTTTTTAACCTTTAATCAAAGTCCAAGAAATAGAGGAATAAAAAGGAAAATTTGCGAGAGAAGGGTAAATTTCGAACATCCAAATGGGATGACGGAGTGCTCAAAAAATGTACTGGACAGGAACATACCAAAATAGGTTCTCAACGTACAAAGCTCCGATTTATTTCAATTTAACACAGCTTGCGTGTTGTTCAAATTTGCTCTCCTGATGTCCCTACAAAATATCTTAAACTAAAGGTTTAACACTAGTTCTAACAACACAAAAGTAAGATGATAACGTGAACAATAACGCCACCTGTTAAATGTGTTTCTTCATGCTCTTTTTCCCAAGGGCATTCTAAAAGGCCTAATGAAAAAAAGAATCGCAAGCATAAGAACTACCCATTCTTTAAAACACACACTTTTTTGCTCAAAGAACTTCATCTAATGCCACTGCTTTCATTTTATCTGCCCTAGGACAGGGGTACCCCTACCTTGCTAATGGGTTTAGTAATACGTCTTGTTCTATACGTCTATCCCTTCTCCCCGGCACTGGTTAGAGAGAACCTCTGAGCGGGTCCAGAACTTACCCTTCCAGCAGACTCATGGTGGTGGATGTCACTTCAGCAAACAGAATTGTTTTTCCAAGTTGCTCTGTCCGCAAGTTTTGTCGGTAGATCTCTAAGCTAAAATTTTCTGAGGAGAAGGCCTCCGTGTCGGTCACCACAGGTATTGCAGTTGGGGTGACTTCTATTTCAGACGTGTAAGATGGAACGAACCTCAGGGAGAGCTTGCTGGATTTTATTACTCCTTCGAGATCCACATGTTTCCCCAGCCACTGCATAAGAGGATCCCGGATTTCCTGTGTCATAAAGAGAAATGGAAAGGTCGTAACTTGGCATTACATTAGATGATGGTAGCTTTTCCTTAAAATGCCATTTTGGTAACATAAGTACTTCCTAGTTTACGACCAGTAAAAACTAGATTAACGTATTCTGAACATTTAAACGACTATATAATAGACAATAAGTATGCCAAGCACGCTTCTACTATAAAAAGAAATTGTTCAGAAACCAGGATCCAAGGAAATAAGCAGAGCTCATTATTTTCTATCCTACATTACATCCTAAATTCTTGAAAGTCCCTTCTGACTCTAGAGTTCGCTAGTAATTCTCCTGTCCTCTGTGCATTTTTTTAATTCATTCATTCATTCATTCATTCATTTACACCTACAGCACCTGGTCTTCCTAGGTGGTCTCCCATCCAAGTACTAACCAGGCCCGACCCTGCTGAGCTTCTGAGATCAGACGGGACCGGGCTTGTTCAGGTTGGCGTGGCCGAAGCTCTGTGCATTTTAAAGAAAACTTGTATCTTTATACTTTTGCCCCACAAAGAAATTTATCCTATCTGGGGGGGAAAAAATGGGAAAACCAGGTGAAAGAATTCAGAGACGACAAAGCACTAATAGAGCATTTGACCTTAGCCTCTGGAGAACTGCCACCTCCTTCATCAAGACAAGCTGACCACAAGCCACACTGACTGGTCACCAATAAGGGAGAAACACGTTTTCATGGACGAAAAATAATGGGGTGGCCAAAAGCTGCGTTGTCTTTGCCCCACATGAGGGTCCGGGGTGGGGAGGCTGAACCTACGCAGCACCCAGAACTGAGCTGCTATCCTACCCCTGAAACCACGAGGGGTCTTGGAGCCTCCCAGGAGGCAGCGACTTCCTCTCGGACTGCAGAGGGCTCGGAGGCCTCCCACTGGGGTGGGACATCAGGGGATTGCGGGGTTGGGGGAGTCACCATCCCAAGAGGCCTGCGCAATCTGCACTAAAACCTGTAAGTCAAGGTAAATGCAGGTCCAGACTCTTAGAAATCATCTTCATGCAAATGGCAGGACTTTCAAAGAGAAAATGGGTCCCTCTGTAAACTTCAGGGGTGTGACCCAGAGCTCCAGAAGGCCACAGAGAAGCAGCTTCAAAGATAAAATTTCATTCAACTAAAACTGACGAAGAATGAAACTTTAAAACTCACTTCGATTTTGCAGAAAAAAGAGCAACAAGTTAAATGACTTCAGAAGGAAGTAATTAGAAGAAATCCATAAGGTGACACATTTCACAGAACAGGAATCTTCAACAAACCAATGTCATTGGCAGAGGCAGGCTGGGGACCTGATCTCAATGAGAAGGGACCTTCAAAGATATAATCAAATACAATGGGTGGTCCTTTATTGGATCCCGATTTGAACAAACTAGCTGGAAAAGACATTTTGAGACAACTAGGAAATGTGAATATAGATAGTATGTGTGAGATAACAAACAAGAATTACTGTCAGTTTTAGTAGGTATGATAATGGTATTGTGGTGACATAGGAAAACGTTCTACATGTTAGAAATGTATGTATGCCATGATATCTGTCATTTACACCCATTTCAGATGAAGCAAACAAGTCAAAATGCTAATAATCGTTAAATTTACACGATGGGTATTTGGATATTTATCATACTACTCTCTCTAGTCTTCATATTTGGAAACTGTCAATTAAAAATGAAAAGAAACAATAAAATAAACATTAGCTATTAGAAAAATAACAGATTCAACTAAAATATGTTGGCGATCTATTCATTCAACAAACATTACAGGATGCCTACCATATGGCAGGTATTCCTGAAGGTTCTGAGGATTCAGCAGTGGACAAAGGGGCTGAAGTCCCTGTCCTCAAAGGGTTTATGATATGGTGTGGGGGTCAGATAATAAAAACATTCATAAGCACGAGATATAGAATGTTAGACAGTCGTTAAGTGCCAAGGAGAAAACAATTCAGCAGAGAAGGGAGGTAAGAAGCATTGGAGGCAAGTCTTTCTAGGTAGGGTGGGCGGAAGGTGACGATTAAGGAAAGACCTGGAGGGAGAAAGAGGAGGTGCTAAAATATAATTTGATAACCATATCATTTATATTTATCTCTATAGAGGGATTTACATATTTACATGTTATTTCCATAGAGCCAGGAATACAGGGCAAGCCAGGGGAGGACGAGCAGTGACTCAGGTTATTCAGCAGGTGTAGGCAATGTAAATCAATCCCCACTCAACATCAGTGAAAACCAGGATGAAACCAAAAAGAAACAGCTAGCACTGGCGGAACTTCCAGATGGGAATAAAGCAGGGAGTCTTCTCTGGAGTGAATTATCCAACTGGCCATTCAGACGTCCTTCAGCTAAGACATAGGCCTGGAGCACTTCCTGAGTCTCAAAAATAGTAGCACGGTGGAAAGAGAGGAAAGACCAATATGTACACACCCAACGACAAGAGTGTGACAAGTGCTAGGAAAATTCACTCGAGCAATTCAGATATACACTTCCCTTTGGCAAAGTGGGTCAACCTGACTTGCCAAATTTAACTACCTATTCTTATTGGTATACACAGTGCTGAAACAACTGTATAGCCATATGCCAAAAAACAAAAACAAAAACCTCCAACCTTCACCTTGCATGTATACAAAAAATTAACTTGAAATGAATCCTAGATCTAAATGTAAAACTATGGAACTTCTAAAATAAAATAGAGGAGAAAAATTTTCTGACCTTGGGATAGGGAAAGCTTTTCTCAGATGGAATAAAAGAAGCATGAACCAGAAGAAAAAAAAAAAAACGATAAACTGAAATACAAAAAAAAAATTAAGAAATGCTCTTCAAACGATAATGTTAAGAAAAATGAAAAGACAAACAACAGAGTAAGAGAAACTACTCTCAATACATATATCAATACGAAGGACTTGTATCCAGAATAGAAAAAGAACTCTTAAAACAGAATCATAAGAAAACAAAACAATTCAACTTAGAATGTCAGCAAAAAGGTGTGAACTGCCACTACCCAAAAGAAAACATTGGATGGTAAATGACTACATGAAAAAGTGCTTACTCAGCATCATCCGTCACTAGGGAAATACAAATTAAAAACACAATGAGATATCACTACACACCCACCGGAATGGTTAAAAAGTTGAATTCTGACAAAGTGTTGGCAAAGATGTGAAGTAACTGGAACTCTTGGCAGAAATATAAAATGGTACCGTAATTCTGGGAAACGGTCTGGCAGTTTCTTATCAAGTGAAACATATACTTGCCATATGACCCAAAAATCCTATTCCTAGGTATATACCCAAGAAAAATGAAAACACATGTCCTCACAAAGACTTGGACATGATTGATCATAGCAACTTTACTCAGAATAGCCAAAAAACGCAAACAGCCCAAATGTCCACCAACAGCTGACTAGACAAAGAAGTTATGGCATATCCACACAATGGCACACGACGCAGGAATTAAAAGGAATAATCCACTCACACATTCAACAACATGGGTGAATCTCAAAAACATAACGCTGATTAAAATTTAAAAAAAAAAGGAAAAAGACACAGAAGAGAATACTGTATGATTCAATTCAGATGAAATTCCATAAAAGACCAATCTCGTCCAAAATGAGACACGCACAGCAGATCAGTGACTGCTCGAGGCTGGGCACGGGCTGGGAGACTGGGTGAGGACCGAGAAAGAGAATGAGGGAAACTTGGAACATGCTGGAAACGTTCTACATCTTGATTTTAACGGTGGTTACACGGGGGTGTATACCTCTATCGAACTACAGTGAAATGGGTGCATTTTCTTGAATATAAATCACACTGAAAGTTGATTTTTTAGGTGCAAATAGCAACGAGCTCATGCCAACACCGCACGATAACTAAAATCCACGAGACTATACTCACATCCAAAACGACACAGTACCCCAACGTCTGAAGAAATCAATGCTTAAATTTACATTTAGTGCCAACGCTCAGAAGGGGCTACTCTAGGGTTAGTTAACATACTGTAACATCTGCTCCAGGGAGTGAAACTAAGACCAGAGACGTACAGCATGCTACGTCTCGTCCCGCTGGAGCCATTCCACCCGGGCACTTGTCTCGTTTGCTAAGCTAACTCATCTAACGAGATTCAGCAGGTGAAACGTAGCCGTACCTCTGAGTCAGTGTTGGATTCGAAATATTTATTACCCCTTCTGTTTGTGTTTTGGTCCTATTCTTTCCAAGAAACACCAAACATCTGATCCTAACTTCTAAAGGTTTTCTATCTCAGAGACACATTTGCCTCGTTGTAAATAATCAGATTAGTTGTGCTTCAGTCATAACACTGTAAGTTGCTAGGCAACCAGAAGTGTGTAAATCATAAAACGGATCCACAAAGACATGAAATACAAGCTCTTTTTATGGGCGTCTCATTCTCAGTTAAATACTCTCAAGGAAACGAGAATAGATAGTCTACTCTCGTGGAATGAAACAAGCCCATTCTTACTGCTGGTTTTTTACAAACAAAAGAGTCACGGCCAATTTCATGTTGACTCAGTGTCTTCACCCATGTGATAAGGACACACGGCAGATGTTTATAATCAGAAGATGACACTCCTGAAGGAGGACTGACCTCGTTTAAGATGGAGACTGCTCATGTGGCAACCCTCAGGGTGGACTTTCGTTCTAAAGCGCCAGACCCACCAAGCAGACCAAAGCGTCAAGCAAGGTCTGAGATGTGTGTGCCCCTCCTCACGTGACCGGACCCCTATGTGGATGCTTCTGTCCCGCCCTCCCTCCGCCCCCTGGGCCCACGACAGTCTGACCGACCCTCACCTAACTGGTCCAGATTTCTTCGTGGACTGCAATGCATGCCAGCTTGGGTCCCCCTGGCCCATGCCTTTCTGCTTCCCCTACTATGCTCAGCCACCAACTGCAAACACTGTCACCTGAATGAATGGACCTGGATGGGCTTCTGGCTTCAGTGACACACTGCTGAAACCAGTCCGTCCCCACAGGT